GATCCATCTTACCCAAAAAGCTCTGCCGTGGGTGTTTTTCTTATTTTGGTGAATATTTCTGCATCTTTTTGTTTAATGTTCAAGCTTGTACATGTTCCGTTTGAAATTGAATGAAAAATCAAAAAAAAATTTGTTCAGTTCATTTTGTGTGATGAATGTGCTTTCCTTTTTGTTTTTCGTTGATGAATGTGATCTTTTTATGATGAATGTGTTCTTTCTTTTGAAAATGACGAACCGTAATTTTAGTCTCTTTTTTTATGTTCGATCTGTTCTTGCCTGTTTTAGTTGATGGTTTGTGTTTTTGTGGGTCGGGTTGACCCGACCCAACCTAAAAAAAAACTAAAAAATGTTAAAAAGTAAAAAAATATATATATAAATTTTTATTAATTAATTAGGTGAGTTAGTTTAATTTATGATTAATGAAGTTAATTAATTTTAATCAAAATAAATTAATCATATTTATGAAAATTTAATTTGAGATAATTAGATTTATTTGATTATCTTAATTAAAGATTAGTGAATGTGATTAATTAATTTTAATTAATGTTAAGTTAATTATTTAATTAGACTAATTATCTCAATTAATTAATTTCAATTTTCAATTAACTTTAATGTTGGTTCGTAGTTAAAATTATCTTCGTTTATTTTAAATTTTACCCAAAACTTTTATAATTAAGCAATTCAGTCCATGGGTTTCAACTCTTTTCAAATCAATTCTTCATGTTTTGAATCTTAATCAAATCAGTCCTTCATGTTTCGAATCTAATCAAATTAATCCCTTTACTTTTTATTTCGTGCTTATTGTGCATGCATGTTCTTGATTTTATCTATTTTTGTCCAAGAGTTTAAAAGATGTGACAATTTGGTCCATCTATTTTTCAAACTTACTTTTTAAGACTTAAGTACAAATATAATGAATAAGTTGAATTAAAACCCTCAATGTTAAAGTATGCAACCGTGTTTAAACGGAGGATTGTGAGGTGTGCGTATGTTCTTCCTCACTCCTAACCACACTTCCGAACCCCGATCTCTGTGCAGACTTGTTTTAGGTGACTTGTTCCACCTTATAATTTGAATGAGTGACGACTCATTTTTCTTATATCTTTCACACTTAATCCTTTTTAAGTGATCGTCAACAGGGTCAAGGTCCTATTATAAACCTGATTTAGCTTTCTTGGAGTTTAGAAACCCCTTGTCGTGCTGTGGGTCTCATTGTTCTCTCTGAGGTTCTCATCAATAGATCTGTTGAAAACCTTCATGACCTTCATGAGACAAAACTCATCCATTAGAGTGAGCTAGGGGTTTAAAGACTTGTTGCACATGCTAAGTGCAATCATGACTCTTATAAAAGTGAGTTTGGTTTTATTTTCTTTTGGTTAACTTTTATTTTACTCAAGGACGAGTAAAACTTAAGTTTGGGGAAATTTGATGAGTTGAATTTATATAGATATTAATGTGAAATTGTTGTTTAGATATTATTGATATTTGGATGAGTTTTATAAGATTTTACTGGATTTTACATAATTGTCATTTTGTGTAGGAAAGAACTTAATTAGAAAAAATCATAATTCTTAGGAGCATATTGTAGAGGTCAGAATGTTGAGGATTAAGTTATGCGGAGTTCAGAAGTTAGGGACCAAAACTGTCATTTTACCATCAATAGAAATTGCTTAGAAGGCCAAAAATGTTGGTGTTTTCGGTCTGCGCTTAGCGGAAGGCATTAACACCTAGTTAAAGGTTTTGATCCCTAATTTGATTTTCAAAAAATTGGTACTTCCAATTAGGTTTTTGAAATCTTATAAATACTCATCCAAATTGAGAATTGAAAGAGGTTTTGGAGACTAGTGGTAGCCCTCTTTTAAGCACTCTTAGATATCAAAATAGAAGATAGAGAATTCATCAACAATAAAAGATCAAAGATTTCAATTACCTCAAATTAGGTTTTGTTTTTCTTAAGATATTCTTATGTTCATAATTATGATTTCAAGTTTTATTACTTTTATTATGAACTAATTTATTTTACTAGGATTACAATGTAATCTAATCAATTTAATATAAATTTTGTGATTTTTATACTTGCAATTCAAATTATTCGCATAATGAGTTTATGTTATTGAAGTTAATACATTAAAACCCTGATTATCTTTTAATTGATTTAGTGATTTTATATATGAACTTGAGAAAAAATTGCTTAGATTAGACCAATAATAATATAAACCGTGTGTTAGACTATGAGATCAGGAGGTAATTAACGTTACATGCAGTAGTGGAGGAAGAGAAGACAATTAGGAACTTCCCTTCTTAAGCTAAGGGTTTCCATAGAATTTAATACTCATTAGTATAATTAAAATTACATAAAGATATGACTAATTTAACACATAAGTGAAGGATTAACTTGACATGAGAAAGTTAGTTAGTTAATCTAGAGAAATCTATCATCACATGTAATAACACTCAATAAATTAGTTTTGAAAGCATATTAATTTAGAATTTATATTTATTGATTATAGTGAAATCGATACCGTAGTACCTCATATCTTGATTGGTTTTATTTTATTTGTTATTATTTTTAATTAAAGTTTCTTCCTTTTCAATTATTCAAATAAATTTAGATTAATTATTTTTGATACTTAGTTAATCACAATTTTCATAGGTTCAACACTTTTCTTATCATTATATTACTTAGAGTGACTAATACATTTGTTAGAGTGATTTTAGTGCAACAATAGGCACTAAAATTTGCCATTTTTGTTTTAATTATAGAAGAAATTGTTTTTTATGAGAAGAAGAAACTTTGTTAAAAAATAAGAAAATATTATTTTTACATTTAAATGTAATAAATGTATTTATTATTTTAACTTTTAATTTTCTTTCTCTTCTTATCTTATCTTTATCTTTTCAATCATTTTATCATTATTTTATTATTATTTTATAAAGGATAAAAATAAAGAATTATAATGTACATTAATTATTAAATGCATGCTAAAAGGTGTATATATTTATATGAAGATAACACTTTATCTTCCACATTAACCTAAAATTAATAATTATTCATTAAATAATTTTAATGGCATAGTAATTTTATATTTTAAAATATATTAAATGTATTATAAATAATAATAATTAATATAACTTAAAATTAAAACTAATGCAAAGAGACTATAAAATTCTTAATATGAGAGACATTAATATATATTATAAAAAGAAACAAGATAAAATGATATATAAAAAATTGATTAAAATTATTAGTTTTATAAGTCAAAAAGATGGCAAACGGGTCTAACAAATTAAAATAGATATTTTGTTAAAGGAAAAAATATATTAGGTTGATAAAAATAAAATATGTAAGGTAATTGATTATTAAAAAATGTATAAATGTAGTTATTAATGAATTTATCATATTCTTTCTGCCAAAATAACTATTATTTTTTACTTTTTCTCTAAATTAAGTATTTAAGGATAATTTCTATATTTATCTACTATACCTTTAAAAAAATAAAAAAAAAGAATATAAATTTCATAATTAGATGATTAATTAAAATAAATAGATAATGATAAGGACATAAGAAAAATAATATATCTACATTGAAAAATAAAAATAATGGCTATTAATTTTAGACAAATTTAAAATAAAAAAATGCTTATTTCTATTAATAATTTATTAATATTTAAATTAATTAAAATTTTTTATTAAAAATTTATTATAAAATTGAATAATTAATATAAAAGATATAAAAATTATCTCATGCGTTGCACGAGTTAAAAAAAAAAAAAACTAGTTGGGGGCTAAAATTGACATTATGAACCAAAAAATAAAAAATAAAAAATTTCCGGGCATGGGGAGCCAGGGCCGCCGCAGTCATCTATCTTGTTAAAATCAAGCGGCATCTACGAAAAAGAAGTGGTGAATGGTTTGCAGAACAGTGGACATGGCCAGACAGCTTTTCTTATCCACAAATGCCCCACCACTTCCCCGCTCTCCTCCACTTCACCACCATTTCTCTAAACCCTTCCTCTCTCCTCCTCCTCTCTACAGTTCCTTCATGTTCCAGTCCAATTTTCGAGTCCTTTGTCGAACACAGCCCAAGGAGGTCTCCGATGCCGAATTCACTACTCGTGTTGGCCTAGACCGTCTCCTGAAGGTTCCTATATCAAATATTAGGAATTTCTGCATCATGGCACATATCGATCATGGGAAGTCGACGTTAGCAGACAAATTGCTTCAATTGACTGGAACTGTGCAGAGTCGAGAAATGAAAGAGCAGTTTCTTGACAACATGGACTTGGAGAGGGAAAGAGGCATAACAATCAAATTGCAGGTTCTGAGTTTCTTAATTTTATTTTAAAGAGTTGTTTTCTGAGGTTGATTGCTTTCTTTATGCAATTTTCCTCTAATTATTGATGATACTATTGCAGCAACTACTTATCCTTTGAGTCATGTGCAGGCGGCTCGTATGCGTTATATGTTCAAGACCAAACCTTATTGTCTGAATCTAATTGATACTCCTGGTCACGTAGACTTTTCTTATGAGGTATCTCTTCCATTCTTCAATAATAGATTATATATTTGAATTTGATAAAATTATGCTGGAACATTGGATTCTTTTAGTACCCTTAATTTATTCTGCTTTAGGAGTCAAGAGTCCAAAGAATTTTCCCTAAGAAGCCATGGTTAATGAATTTTGAAATGAGATAAGTAATTTGTGGTGATTGCCATGTAAGCTAGAGTAATGTTCTAATCTTCAACTAGAAAATGTGTGCATGTTCATATACTCGTCACGGCATGTATTTTTTTAGTTTCAAGTAAACGATGTGATGACCCAGAAGAAAAAAAAAAAAAAGACTAACAGAGCAAAGGAACTGTGGTTGATAATGAACTAATTGTCATGTCCAATGATATAAGGTAAGTGAACATTTTTATTATTCTTTATTTCTTTCTGCATCTGATTTCTCTCTTCCATATTTTTTATAGGTTTCCAGGTCTCTTGCTGCATGTGAAGGTGCACTTCTTGTCGTAGATGCTTCTCAGGTGACTACACATGTAGCCTGAATTATTAATTTGTAAAGTGTTTAAATATTTTGTTGTACAATTGACATGACTGCACGGCACTCTATTTTAAGGACTAAAACAAAGCACAACCAAAAAGTGCTTAGCCCAATGTACCCACTAACTTCTAAACCTTGATTTAGGGGTCAAGGCCAAGGATTCAAATCCTTACAATGATAAACACTTTCTTTACTGACAAAAAAACGATAAAACTAAACATTAGTCTTTTTGTATCTGTTTCAAATGCACAAATTACTCTACACTAATTTAATGCTGTTGCCGCTTCTGTCTCAACTACTTTTTTTTTAATAAATAATTGCTTCTCTTACTGTTTTTGATAACAATGCTATGTATGTTTCTAGGGAGTGGAAGCGCAAACTCTGGCTAATGTTTATTTGGCCTTGGAGAACAACCTAGAAATTATCCCTGTAAGTAGGTGATATGCTATGTTTGGAAATTTGATTATCAACTTGTTGATTCAGAATTTATGGTCCTACTATTGTATAGCTGACTTTTCTAGGCATTTGATATTAAAAGAAGTGCAAGATTATTTTATTAAAATATTTGTTTTAATCACCATATTTGATATTCTCAAGTATGAAATATAATGCTCATTGTTGATTGATACACCCAGCTAGATCTAATTAAACTCTATTCTCAAGCGTTGATCTTTATGTATTTCCAATTTCTTTCTCAAACAATACAATGATTATTTTGTTATCTTAGTTTCCTTCACAAATGGTTAAGGAGTGATTTGAACCATGTTGAGAATTTGGGTTTGAATCTCTCCATTTGGGTGCAAATAATTTCAATGAGCCATTCCTACGCCCTTGAATGTGAAATTTTACTGAGTACTTGTGGACAAGGTGGTTTGCAGGTACTAGTGAGATTAATTGGGCTAAAGGTTTAGATACCCATGTGTCTAAAAAACATGTTTATGTACATTATTGTTTTTGTAATGTTTTAATATTTTACAGGTTGTTTTTGTAATGTTTTCTTCTTTTACAGGTTTTGAACAAGATAGATCTTCCAGGTGCTGAACCAGATCGTGTTATTAAGGAGATTGAAGAGGTTGGTCCATGAAAATGTTGATGGCCATGTGACCTATATTTTAACTTACAGTTTGTGGAGATGGCATTCTACTGCTCTGAAAGCTAATTTAAGTTTTTGATTTTTTTGGTTTGCATGGATAAATAAGATGCATAAGTATAGATAAACTAGGTGTCAAACATCTGTTTAAATGGAAATTGACACATTCATATGGTATCTTTATTTTGAAGTTTTGCCTGAAGTTTACCGTGCTTATCTTTTGCCTGTAAATATCATCCTCTGAACTGTTATTCCAGTGGCTCAGGTAATCATAAGAAACAAGTTAGTTTGGTTGTTCTTTTGAAATGATGGCTAGAGTAACATATCTTCCTTGTAGGTTATTGGGTTAGATTGTAACAATGCAATCCTCTGCTCTGCAAAGGTGAGGTCATAGTGATTTTTATTTATTTAGACTATGTCGTATGTGTTATATTATGAAAATTGGTTCAAAATATTTTAGTAAAGCTATCTTATTTTATGTATTTTTATTTTATTTTCATCTATAGGAGGGAATTGGTATAACTGAAATTCTAAATGCAATTGTTGAAAGGATTCCACCACCATGTGATACTGCTGGAAGCCCTTTGAGGGCCTTAATTTTTGATAGGTATGTATCTAACATTGTTTTTGCTATTGTAATTGTTAATGCAATTCACTGTTATGTTTAAGCTTGCTCTTATAAGCCTCCTTTTATTATTTGTGTGTCCACATGTGCATATATTTCTTTAGCCATAATATTGCTCTATTGTATTAACCTCTCTTCTAGAACTTGAATACCAGATAGCCTTGTGAGTTGTATTATTAATACCCGTGGAATATGATAAGGTCCCATATCCTTTTGATTATTCAGTTATTTGATTTTTAAATATCACAGAAACTGTGTGATGCAGGACATGTTAGGGGGTATGGTGGGCTTGGGGATTTAGTGGTTGTTTAGGGCAGAAAAAGAAGATCAAAACCAAGAAAATAACAAGAAAGATACAAAAACCCTAAGAGTCACACCTAAATTTCTTTAGGTATCACACATAAAACCCTTAAGCATCACATCTAAGGCTAGTTGCATAACACAACCAAGATTGCATCACACAATCTCAGGAGAAGAAATTTCTGAATATTCTATTTCTCAATAATGAAAGAAATTACATGCATATTTATATACTCCTACTAGAACTTCTATTCTAATTGGACTATAACTTGAAATTTAAAATTTCTAATTCAACTAGGACTTAGAATCTTGATAAAAGACCTAATCTTAATAAAAGTAGGAAATTAATGATAACTACACTTGAATAAAAATAACTACTTAAGAATCCTAGATAATCTAAATAACTTTTCAATTGTTGCTTCTGGTTCTTCATCACTGTGTCACATCCCACCATCTGCAAAACTTACCAAAATCTTAGCATGCATGCTATTTAGAAGTTTAGGGAAACATCAGACTTTGAAAAAAATGCAAGGAAGATTAAGTTAGCAGTTTGCAGAAAATGCTGTAGTTAGAATCATAAGACTTATAAATGAGCTCTAAGATCTCATCTCATAGGGTACACAAAGTTTTTAGAAATCATGAGTCAGATTTCATTGATTAAAAAAAAAAAAAAGAAAAAGAAAAAGGAAAGGCCTTAGTAGAAGATACCTTGGTTTCTGTTGGAATCATGAAGATACAGTAGTTGATCTCAAAATGATGTAGGGAAGATATGGGTAGAACAGATAGAAACTAAGAAGTTCATAAAATTAAAGACGGAACCAAGAAAACTTAGGGTTTCAACCTCAAGTTTATTCTCAAAATAAAATGTAATGACAAAAACTAATTTAGGAATCTAAAAATAAATATATATACTACCAGTAGCCAACAATCCTAATTCAATTCTAATTTTAACTTCTAATAACATACTAATTCTAGTCCTAATTAAAACCCAGGTGCTACCCACATGACCTTCCTAAAATTAAAACTTAGACTCCAAATAAAACTCAAACTAAAACAAATAATTAAAAAAAACATTTCTGCTCCCGCATCATTCTCCCTGGGTTGGAAATTGTGCCAGGCTCAAATTGAAGGTCTTGTATTTAGCATATTTATCTGGAGCAGTTTTCTTCCATGAAGTCCTGCAAAAATGTCCCTTAAACCTAACTCCCCTATAACAAACAATGGATACTGGAATACAATGTAGTCTTACCACCTCTTCCAAAATAAATCAACAGCTTGTGTGGCATCTGAAATCTTGGAACAAGGAAAGAAGTCTGCCATTTTTGTGTATAATTCAAACCTGTAGGGAAGCAGATTAGTTAAACTTGCTGCTGGAATAAAATCAAAGGCATGTTGAATATTCACCAATGGCAGTAACTCTTCTGGTAGTTCCTTATTATAAAACCATTTAAACTCTTCTAATAGCTGCTGATTTTCATTAGGTTGCATAGAATTTTCTCTTTTTCTTCTTCTCCTGACAGCTTATTTAGAACAGCATATATGACTCCTGCCTTTGACTTTTAGCTTCAAAATTTTCAGCAAATGAGTAACCAATTACCTTGCTGTCAGCTAGAGATTTTTTTGTCTTGAACATCTTCCCTTAGAGAATGACTCCTCCAATCTTGTCCTTCTTAGTTATTGTCATCATTCCTTGAATCATTAAAGATTCTTCCTGAATTGAAAGAATGTCCACTTCTTCAATTTCATCACAATAGACATCATAAACTGGTTCTAACAAGTCACCTGCCTCCTCTTCAAACAAATGAAGGGCATTTATCAACTGCTTTTTCAATCCACCTGTTATCGCTTGATTTGCGATTCCAGACTCATGAAAAGGGTTTTCATCCCTTCCATCCATGGTCACATCCTCTAGACTACATTCTATTGTGTCTGCAGCGTTATGTTCACCTTTCAGCATCTCTTTATAGGCTCCCACGGGTTCCTTTTGCTGTAAAGCTTGCATAGCTTGTGCTCTGCTTGTTGGCCTTTATTTCCTTTTCCAAGAAGATATGTGTAGAACAAACAAAAACTAAGAGGTTTATAAAATTAAAGATGGAACCAAGAAAACTTAACAGTTTCAACCTCAAGTTTATTCTCAAAATAAAATCTAATAACAGAAACTGATTTAGAAATTTAAAAATAACTATTTATACTAACAGTAGCCAAGAATCCTAATTCAATTCTAATTTGAACTTCTAATAACCTACTAGTTCTAGTCCTAATTAAAAGTTACATGCTATTCACATGACTTTCCTAAAATTAAAAATTAGACTCCAAATAAAACTCAAACTAAAACAAATAATTTAAAAAAAATTTTAAGCTCCCACATCACAAAACAACATACAAAACAGACTTAGTAACACTTGTTTAAGATGCACAAAACTTAGAGTAATAGTTTTGCTTGGTTACAACTGACACAGGAGATCCACCAAGCTCTAGGACCAGCTTCTTTTCTATTTACTGAACTGAAATGTCATTGAGAGAAATAATGGGTGTGCTTTGCAAGTTCAGCAAGTGTGGCTTATACTTTTATAGTGTTATCAAATGCAATTGAGCCGTTGCTTAAAATGTGTTGTTTTAATAAATTTTTATTAAAAAAGACTAAAACACCCTAATTTTTAAAGTAGGGATGAAGCTATTTTAGTCTTTTTTCTTAGTGCTATGTTGAAATGGCATAGTTTTGAGTGCTTTTCTAACATTTTTGCAGGCTCAGCTAATCAGCACTAATCTCTTTTTTTGTGTTTCATTATTGCACTATGTTTTTTCTTTTTTGTTTTTGCTTCGGCATCTATTATATATTTAATTAATAAAAATGAGGGGTTATAAGTTTTTTCCGTGAAAAAAATAAAATTAGAATAGTTATGTATTGTAAGCTCTATGTAATTTGGGTCTAAATGTATCCCAATAAAATTAAAAATTTATTTTATAAAGTTTTATTTATTAATTAATACATTAAATCAGTAACCTCTTTTGCCAATTCAATTTTATGATTTCAATTTTACCCAACAAAAAATATTTTACGTGAACTCTTGATTTTGATGACCTTTATCACAACACTTAAGCTGAACATGGGCATGGCTTAGCACTAACAGAAGTTGACATAGGTAAGTAGTTAACAACTTAGCTAGGCAACAAATAAAATAGTCCTAACAATTGTAGCATGCTGAGTAGTCTTAATAAATAGATTTAAGACATAAACAGAACAATACAAAGCATAATATACCACAAACAGTCTGACAAATAGGGTATGGAGTCCACTGAATATGCATGGAATCACATTAGTGTTGGATATCAGTACATCCCTACTGCACAGAAGGCCAATAGTACTTATATAAAAGTCCATTAAACTAGTTTTTAAAACCAAAACAGTGGAACCGTCTACCAGTCACCAGTGACCTGTGGGACGACTGGTCAGACATCATAAAGGATCTGAAGAGGCAGGATGTATTCTTATTGATAACTTGGCTTTTCTTTTTCAACTAGGATGTCATGCTTGTTGATGTTTAGATTTCTCACTTTGAGCATGTGAAGAGGTAGGATCAATGCTTGTTTATTTTCTTCTTTTCCTTTTCATTTCTTTCTTGTTTGATCGCTTAGGCCACATTGAGTGCCCAGAAGTTTTTGAATTCTCTGGTAAGGATTTTATTTGACTTGTAAGGTGGTCTTTTACTTAGCTATTTGAAAAAAAAAAAAAGGATGTTTCGTACTGTCCATTTGTCATCTTTTTCTATACTTGTTTAAAATTTTTCTGATTTTGTTTTTATCTTTCTTTTTTCTTTTTTCCTTTTTCTTTTTTCTTTGCACTCATCTAGTTCTTGATGCAAGTAATAAAAAATGAATATTTTAGCTTTTATTCATGATCTTTGTCTTTTATTTTTGGCTCAAAGGGAGCTTTTAGGGACAATTTTTATGTTTGAGGGAAAAGAAACATGACCTTTCTTCCTTGAAACCTTTCACTTTTGGATTCCTTTTGTGGATTTAGCCCTCATTATTCACCACTCTTTTTATATTTCCAATCAAGCTATTCTTTTTCTTCAATTATTTTTCAATCTTTTTGTAACATCCCTCGTTTGATAAACCCAAGGCTTATTGGGTAAAGGAATGTCTTGTCCATAATATCAATTCAAATCCTTTGTTTTAAGAAGTAGGTTTGAAGTTTGAGTCACTTTAAGGCTAAAGTCATTACAAATAGGAAAATATAATGCTAGTGTAGAAAAGAATGCTCGATATACTATTTGAGAGAAATTTAAACTGTGTAGTATAGTGAAGAAAGAACTATTTATAAGAACAAAAGACTTGGTTTTACTTGCATTTCCAAGGCTCAAAGTTTAGTACAAAATAAATTGAGAATTTACAAATCCAAGTAAAGTTTTGGGTAGATATAGATTTACCCTAGAAGCATAGCTCGTAGTTTGCATAGGACAACCACCAAAAGGACTTAACAGCAGCTACACTTCACTGGCACTATTTGAAATGGTGTAACAAAACACCATGAGCTCATAGCCTGGTAAGCATAATTCCTAACTTTAAGTTAAGCCAATGTTCCTTGGTTCTTTATGCAGAAAATTCCATTAGTTTCTGTCTTGTTCTAATCATACAGAATTAAGATATTGTAGCCATAAAACATACACACAGACTTAGCACAATAAATAGAAATAGCAGAGACCATGGAGTCCACCAATTGTGCATGCACTCATGTTAGGTGCCAAAGCTAGTCATAGCATTTACCTGCTAAGGTCCACTAGTCCACTGTTATAACTCCCAAGCCTAGGCTGGGGTCCAACCAATCTCTCCATAGTTCTAAGGCAATTATAAATAGAAGCGTTTACAGTATAGAAACATGCATGAAGTGTTCAATATTTACTTAACATATTGACAGGCATAGCATATACCCAAATTATTTGCACAAAAAATAATATCACAAATCATGGCTCCAGATCTTAGTTATCTAACTCAAACCACCATATTCAATATTCGTACAATCATTCAATGGAAACTAGGCCAAACCCTACCTTAGGATACCTATTTTTGACATTAACATGTTGATAGATACCTTGTCTCCACTAATCTGATTCCTAAAATAACATGCAACCATAATTAACAATTGTTACCGATTAGTCCCTAATTCTATTTGGTACGGAAGAAATTTGCATAAAAAATGTTATATTTGCTGACACTAGATAATGAGCCACCTTAGGAGAAAAATATCATTAGCTTTTCTAATGACAAGAGTATCCCTTGAAGAGCCACTTAAGCGACCACGGATTTAGTTTAGAAACTTGATGTCAAACATCATAGACAATGGATAAAGCAAGTGCAACCAAATATATGAGGTGAGTGGGAAAACAAAGATTGTGATTCAAATAGGCAGTGTTAAGCCTCTCAACTTTCTCCGTTTTCTCACTTCAGCCCCTGTAGAAAGTATAGGCATATAAGCCCTTAAACTGACCAATTTGAGCAAATTAGCCCCTGTTACTAACAGAACAAGCACGTGATATCACATGACTCTAACAGGCATTTGATTTCTACTTGCATGGCAACTAAAAATGGGTTAATTATAACTTAGTTCTTGAATTTATTGAATTTCAAATATAATTAGTCCCTAAACTTTTTATGTTTTATTAAAATGACAACTAGGCAAGAGAACACTAAAAATGGCAAATCACATCAGCGTTTCTCCTCTCACTCCAAAGGAAAATGTTTCTTTTAAGTTACAGGCACAACCAAAACAAAGAGAGAAAAAAAAAAAAAGAAAAAAAGAAAATGCTTGTTGAGAAACAAAGAACTAAAAAGGCAGTAATTGATACAAAGCTTTCACTTTCTAGCTTTCCTCATCAATCCAACGGTATCATCTTTTTTTACTCCATAAAATCAAACATAGCCTGTTAACCCCACCCAATGTAGGATTATTCAAGCTTTTGAGTTCATGACTATAGATATTGGTGATTCTCAAACAAATGCATATAGACTCCATGGAAGAAATTTCTACTACGATTTCTTTTAATTAGTTGTGGACAAAGCTGTGAATTCTTTTTTTTTCCTCTTATTTTCTGGGTTTCCTTCCTTAACTAGTATTGATATGACGGGATGAACAATCCTAATTCTTTTTCAAGTCTGTAACTACAAATTAGATATTTTTTATTGTTTTTCTTTCTTGAAATGAAGGGTTGTTTTAAGTTCTTTCACAAAATGAAATGAGGATGTGTAAAGGAATTATCTTTGGATGAAGAATCATCCAAGAAAAATCAAGAGATATCCAAGAAAGTTTTTTTTTTTTTTTTGCTTTTGGACACTCTTGGGGAAATTTCATTCATGGATGAAATT